ATGGCGGTACTATGCGTTATAGAGAGTGTAACGGACCATTTACTGACGTTGCAAATGCATCTTTTTACACTTTCGATCGCGACCATGGTCTAAAACAATCAAAACAAAACGTTTTCATTTCAAACGGTCTGACGTGGGTAGGCGATAAATTTTACTACATCGACTCATGTACACACGATATCAAGGAATACGATTATAATAGCGTGAATGGTGAATTATGTAAGTTTGAATTCAACTAGTATTTGTTGGAATTTGTTTAAACAATTTTTACATTTGGTTTGTCAGCAAATGAGCGTATCATATTCACGCTTAGAGAGAACGGAAAAGTACCAGAGTATATATTTGATGGTATGACTAGCGATGTTGACGGAAATTTATTTATAGCCACCTATGATGGTTACAAAGTAATGAAAATCAATCCAAAGTATGTAAAATGAGTAAATTTTAAATTGATAAATAAACATATTTTGTTACTAACTACTTTTTTTCTCTCACAGAAGTGGCGAGCTGTTGGCTGAATATAAACTTCCTGCTGGTCAGATAACCTCGGTTGCTTTTGGAGGACCGAATTTGGACATTCTCTTTGTTACCTCCGCCAGCAAGGGCTCTCCACCAGCAGAAGCCGGCCATTTATTCAAAATTACTGGCCTTGAAACTAAGGGCAAGGCCGGAAATAAAATCAAATTATAATTGATATTTCATCATTTTTGGATTTTATACGTCCTGATAAAATAGATACGCTTTGAATAACAAAAAATAAAATGAAAGATAACGCTCTGCTTTATTTATGGTGTATTTTATGAGAACAGAAAAATCATCACTTTATTATCTATGTTTATCTTTTATGAAAACTTAGCATCGTGATTCGCACATTACACTTTAAATAAGGAGTCAGGAAACAATGAAACTACTTAGTGTTCGTTTTGTCATTGAGAAGATTACATCATGATTTACCTACATCATACCATTTTCCTTTTAATTATTTGTGCTTTCAGCGTGAGTATAACTGTTCATAGAATTGAATAAAATAATATCTTATACATTTTCAGTTTGGAGTTGAAATAGAGCAATTGCCTTCTCCTCGAAGTTTGTGTGGAGAAGGGCCACATTGGGATCAAGCAACTCAAAGTTTGTATTATATTGACATCGAAGGACCCGAAGCAACTATTCTGCGTTACGATTATGGCGAGAATAAAACATATGGGGCAACAGTAGAAAATGTTCCATTGATGACATTTGTTTTACCGATTGAAAATAGCATCGATGAATTTTTGGTTGGTGGACAGCATACTGCTTCAGTTATTAGCTGGGATGGCAAATCCTCCAAGGGTGAATTTGTTCGGAACGCTTTTGAAGTTGAAACAGACAAGTACTACGATACTAATCGATTTAATGATGCCAAATGTGATGCAGCTGGAAGATTTTACGGTGGAACACAGCGTAAGGGAAGTTGTGGAGGTCCGTTCACTGACGTTGCAAATGCGTCTTTTTACACTTTCGATCATGAAAATGGTGTAAAACAATTAAAACAAAACGTTTTGATTTCAAACGGTCTGACGTGGGTAGGCGATAAATTTTACTACATCGACTCATGTACACACGATATCAAGGAATACGATTATAATAGCGTGAATGGTGAATTATGTAAGTTTGAATTCAACTAGTATTTGTTGGAATTTGTTTAAACAATTTTTACATTTGGTTTATCAGCAAATGAGCGTATCATATTCACGCTTAGAGAGAACGGAAAAGTACCAGAGTATATATTTGATGGTATGACTAGCGATGTTGACGGAAATTTATTTATAGCCACCTATGATGATTACAAAGTAATGAAAATCAATCCAAAGTAAGTAATATAGAAAAATATATCTGATGTTTATTAGTGATGTATAATGGTTATTAATACATTTTTTTCTACAGAAGTGGCGAGCTGTTGGCTGAATATAAACTTCCTACTGGTCAAGTTACCTCGGTTGCTTTTGGAGGACCGAATTTGGACATCCTTTTTGTGACAACGGCATCGAGACGGACTCAACAGCCCGAAGCTGGTCATTTGTACAAAATCACTGGCCTCGAAACTAGAGGCACGTCTGGAGTTAAAGTCAAACTATAAGAATTTTTTTATTGGTGTCTACAAAGACAAATACTTCCAAAATCCTCTTTCATTGTCAGTTTCTTGCATTATATAATCCACGAATCGAAAATGATAATTTTTATAACTCAAGTCAAGATTAAACTGTTTTGTAATAAAATAATAATAATATCTCCTTTTTATGGCTTTAATATGAAAGAACAAAGACACATTTAATGCTGAGTAAAAGATTAAGTGAAGAAAAAGCCACAAAAATATCAAATATAAATTTATTATCATTTTTTTCCGGCAATTAAAGAAAAAAACATTATAATTTTTTCAAATCCATTTTTGACATTTTCTATAATTACAAAATTATATTCTCGGCTTCTATCAAAATACGAATGAGTTCGTCATGCCCTAAGAAGATTACCAATTCAAATTTCAAATATTTAATAATGAAATCAAAAAGGATTACCTTGATTAAGTGCATCAATAAGTGGCGTTCTTGCCTCTGTGTTATTTCTCACCCTCAGATCTGCTCCAAGTTCAATCAGTATTTTTGCTTGATTCGGTTTACCTAATTGAAAACAAATTGCATATAGAGCACACAACATTTGCTGTATTTGTTTGAGATTCCAATTTACCAAGCCAAGCTGCGTAATGCAACGGGGTGCTTCCATACGGGTCGTCTCTGGAATTTAAATCAGCGCCACAATGAAACAATAGTTCAAAAACACCAATATCACTATCTAAAGCAGAAAAGACACAAATAGGGTTATTTGCTTACAAAAACTTTTATATGAAAAAAAAACTACTATTAATAACTGCTGCGTGAAGTGGAGTGCTATCTCCATTAGCTTTTGCATTTGGATCGGCCCCATTTTCAAGAAGTAACCGAACAATATTTAAATCACCTAAAAAGATAAAGAAAACCCAATTAAATGTATAAATGATTGGATATCATCAAAAATGTTAAGCTAACTAGTAAGATGAAGCGCGGTTCTATTGCTGCCATCCTTCTGATTTACATCTGCTGCACTATCAATTAATCTTTTCACCTCATCATAGTTTCCTACGTAAATAATGGCTTAAGAATCATTTGTTTTATGTTCTGTTTTGGCAAATTATGTCAATTACCCGTTTTGGCAGCGAAATGCAAACTATCGTGATCTTCTATTAAATCAGTGGTCATTATATGGGATTTGACTTGTTCATTAAAAATAACAAATTTGAGTGATTTCTCTGGTGACCTGAACGTTATTTATATCCTATTGCTCACAAACAAATCATGCATGATGCATGTATATAGATTTTTTTTTTTCTCAATATCATGTTTTTTTTGCATTTACTCATCATACGACAGATTACAGAAATGAAGATGGATTTCTACCGAAAAAAATGCTCATAGAATGTATGACATAGATGTAGAAATTCTGCCGAAATAATAAAATTGTTTTTTTTTTCTTTATTATCAACAATTTGTTTTGGCAAAAGTGCTTATCTTCAAGCACACATTATACTTAATATTAAATGACAAATTTGTTGGTTTTACGCTCAAACAAATTATTGAGTTTTGTGTTTATAACACAGTGAGTATGGTTGGTGTCAATGTTTTCTACATGAGATATTCGTGCGTATTTATAATGATGAGAAATGATCGTGATCTGCTCACGATCAATGTTTGAGTGATTCGTACAACACTTTATAGCAAACCAAGCTGTCACTTCTCCAAGTTCACAATGTTATGCCTCATCTGAATATTTGATTTTTAATATATTATTACGTAATTATTTAAATTATATTTGCAACAGAAATCGAATTAATTTTTGCCAAAGATAAAATTAACAAAAAAATAAAAATCATTTTTTTTCAACGAATATTCCAATATCGAATCGGTTTGAATGCAATGAACGTTTATGCATTTGGTGTTTGAATAAATTGACCACTAGATGGCGTCGTTCATCTAGAGTGTTGTGGATGTGTGCTATAATTGAACAAAGAAACGCAAAACAACAACGTTGACGTACATCTGTCTCTTTTTGTCCGAGCTTAGTATACAGTGGTACTTATCGCCATTTTTGTAATTGAACACGTCTTGAAAATTTCCACCGTTCGTCTACTTAGTTGTGCTCTGTTTTCATAACGCATTGAAAGTGTGTCGCATTTTGAAATAAATCAAACAACGATTTTTGGTTGAAGAAAAAGTTGCAATTTTCAAGTGTGGAAAAAATTGCCAAAAATTTTATTTATTTTTGTAAATGAATAAATCAGCTCATTTAAGAGGTATGGGTTTGAAAAAAAATAATTTTTTATTATTAAAATTATTTTTGTGTGGAAAAATAAATTTATTGAAAAAGTGAAAAAGCACACATAGCAAGATAAGTGGCATTGTGGTGAATGCCATGTTCTAAAATGGTGTGCGTTGTTCCCCGCCCGCCATTCGAAAATACGAGGCACTGCGATTGATATGTGTACATGGAATATGGAAGATTTATACATGCGAACCGCATCGTAACAGCATCGTGAATAAACAACGAAATGTCTAAAACTCCTTATTTATGGTGTCGGCATTAACGAACATTTTTACTGGAAACGAGGGATTCTCATATATTCTACTCATAATTGAATACAGAATATTGCTCTGTCACATATTTCAAATGCCGCAAATGCTTAACATGCTAATTTTTTTTCCAATGCTTTTGATATAAACAATTTCTTTTTTATTTTGATTTTAAAAGTGGTTGTTTTATTGCAATTTATTTAAAAAAAAAAAAACAAGTTTTCATGAATTCAAAAGACAATTTTGACTTAGGTTCTTTTTCCATTCTTCGTTCTTTTTTCTTTTTGTGTTTTTTTGTGTGTTTTTATCTATTTTAATATGCGTTATTTTGTGGGTGCTGATAAATAAAACGACGACTGAATCAAACATAAAATATTGATCTGAACACATAGATTTTACACAACCATGGACGGAAAGAAGAAAAAATTGTGTTCAAGACACAATAAAATGCATTTCAACAACACCTGCCTTTCAAACACCCGACGAATTAGTATTACCGCGAAGGTCGATCGCGTCATCATCTTCAGCGGTCACCGTTACACAGCCAATGACCAGTACATCAATAGCTTCAAAATTGAAACATCGTACCGAAAAAAAGCAACGTCGATTACCACTCATTCATGTAAAATTGGCTCAAGAAAACGCTCCAAGTGAACACAGTGATTCGGACAGCTCATGCTATGATAGCTTAAATGAGATGGAAACAGGTTCGTACACGTTAATGATATTGCAATCTGTTTATTAACATTTCAAAATGAAAAAACAAATCGATCAACAAACATCAGTGAATCAATACGACATTCAGTCGGAGTTTTTGCATATAAGTTGTTATTGAAATAAGTATTAACTCATGCTAATTATCGTATCATGTCTTGTGTATTTGCAATTCTGCATATTGTCTCATAAATAAAAAACAATAAACGATAGTAAACGTTGGCTCAACATTCACCGAAAATAACGAAACATGTTTGAACGTGCAAGAAGTGACGGCAAGCGATATTCGTCTTCCTATTAATAGACGAACTCGCGAGTTGAATGAAAAAAAAACACCGAATCTAATTCTTACTTATTGGTTGCTTTCTTTTTATCCAAAAGATTTTTGTCGAGACGAGAGCGACTACAGCGATGGTTATGTAACCGATGGATTTGCAACGATGGATGTGTTCGAGTATGAGGTCGATGACAGCTCCGAAAGCGAGGATTTCTACTCACACGGTTCTTCCAGCGGAACAGATGTAGGCAACGCATGACTTATTTGTTGAATGCTGAACTTTTATTATTCATTATAAAATAAATTACAAAAAAATAAAAACAAAACTTTAGGACATGGTTGAGGTCGTGGCGCGTGCATTGTTTGACTCAAGTAGTAGCAGCGATTCTGATATCGAAATATTGGCCCAAGATGCAGACACAGAAGAATCAGATGCACCAACCGATCCAGAACTTGGACGAGCTGACTATTGGGAATGCATCAAGTGCAAAAACAAGAAAAATAATCCAATGTATCGGTTCTGCGAAAAATGCTATCAGGTAAACAACCACACATCTCATCTGAATCATTTTTCGCAATCACAAGTCATCTTAAATGCAGTTCGATTTTCTTACAAATTAACCAATTTCGAGAGTAAAGAATTAATAAAAATATTATCATTTTTTTTGTTGTTCGTTGCACGTCGGCACAATTTGTACCGGCCAGTTTTAATTTTTATCAAAGTAAATTTGACTAACTCCCTATAAATAATGTTCAAACTCAAATCTCTTATTCCCATAAATAATTCTCCCAATCCTTTTGTTAAGAAGTTATGTGAAATTATCTGTGACCAGTCGCACACAATGTGTCATTGATTTTGTGTATTATTATTTTTTTTTTATTCGAAAACACGATTGTACATGCAAGCGATCATACACGCGTTTTGAATTAATCCAAAAGTGCTTCATTCGACGTTCGCATTCAGTTCATTCAATTTTGTACATGTGACCAACCCAAGCCGCTTCTTTAGCGCGTAAATGTTTTTTCCTCTGAATCGATACAATGAGCTCACAAAGGAGCATATTGAAAGTCCGAAACGATGTTCAAAGTATCTGCAGTTTTTCCAAAAATGCAGGAAATTTGTCTATATGAAAACATGTTCGTACATGTTTTGTAAATAGACAAAGCCTACTTTACAAATTACAACAACAAAATATACAGACTTGAACTGTACTGTATGGGCGCGCACACACAGACACGTGTGTGTCAGCATATGTTCACTCGTCTGAACTGGATGTGTGTATGGGTGAGCATGACGTCACCAATAGAATGTCGACACTATGTTGTCTTCTCTTGCATTCCAATCTTCTTCTGTTTACAGTTCTACCGAGCTAGCGTCATTCGTTGCCTTTTGATATTTGTTGATGTGTTTTTTGTTCGTTCTGAATTCCTTCTTTCTTCTTTCTTCTCTCATTCTCCGTATTATTAAACTGAATAACATTAGCATCAACGGGCGATTTTTTTTTTTTTTTTGAACTGACAATACTTCTTTCGGTTTTGCCCGATGTTTTAGAAACTTTGCACCGGCTATGTGAATTTTTTGAAAAGCTGGAGAAAGTTTTGAAAAGCATAAATCTCAAGTTTTTTCCTGGTTTGAAGTTTTCAATCAGATTGAAGTGCAGAAACTTCACATCACACTTGCCTTAATGTGGTATGTGTGTTATCGTTATCATAAACTATATATGATCTGTGTGATGTGAAGTTTCTTCAAATCAATTTATCGAAAACTTTAATACTTGACATGAGAAATAGAAACACTTTTGAGATGCTTTTCAAAAACTGTATGAAACTTTCTTCAGCTTTTCGAAAAATTTTGCGGTGCCGGTACAAAATTCTAAAGTTCCAAATGCATCGGGCAAAGCAAATAATGCGTGTTTAGTAAAGAATAATAACCTTCACACTATCATGAATTATTATCCTGTTCAATGTTTCGTTTAGTTCTAGTGCGATTAGGTCATTATCATTTTTTTATTATGCAATATTTTTTTGGCATGACAAGAGAACTTTTCTTGTGATTTTTTTAATTTCATAAAATTTAACACATCAAATAATAACATTTTTTTTTCATCAGATTCGGAAAAACTATTTCCCGCCACGTCCGAAGAAACGCCAACGAAAACGTGCTAGTCTTGCAAACCGTGATGGCAGTAAACTCTTTAGCTCACCATCCACATCATCCTGCATATCACCGAACGATGAAAATCAGCACCAAGAAGATGGCCGGATTAGTCGAAATAGCAGCGATGGCAGCGACGAAATGGGTAATGAGTACATGCAAAAATCAAAACAAACGCGCAAACAACGTCGACGAACGACGTCACAACCGCAAAATCATAGCGCTGGCGAAAGCAGTTGCTGTTCAAGTCAAGAGCTATCGCCTGATGAACAACAATCAACATTACCTTCAAACTATATGGCTTGTGCATCAAGTAGCCAGGAAACATATTGTTCGGATCTCGAACACATTGTCAATGTTAATAAGCAATCTAATTCAAATTTATTTGAACATAATTATCCTAACAGCCAGGAAAGCGTATACCCTAATTCTGAGCCGAGCATCTCGAATGTTTCTGGGCTCGACAATGTTTTTGATAGCAATCGTGCGTTGAGCAAACTTGATAGTTTAGCGTCAACAGTGTCGAGCTTCTCAGTAGGGTCATCGCAATCCTCCACCGAATGTGATTCCAACCGAACTCAAAATGCCGTTGTGCCCGAACTGAAATCATGCGACAGTTTCAATGGATCGATCAGCGAAAAGGCATCAACAGCGATGGATGTTGCAATTGTTGGCGCCAACAAAAAGAAGTCAAAGAAGCGAAAATTGGACTTTACCGATGAAATCAGCGACTGTGACATTGATGACGACGATTTAATGGCGAAAAAGTTTCGAACAATGGATGAAACTGATTCAACAAATGGTATGTGCATGATTTTTCGATTATTCTCCGATTACTTATCGATTATTTTAAATTTTATTCTTTCCTTTTGTGATTCTCCCCTTAGGTATGTGCATGATATGTTTATCGGAACCAAAAAATGGTGCTTTTGTTCACAATCGTTTTTTACACGTATGCTGTTGTTATCGGTGTACCGTTAAGGTATGGAATAAACGGAAACGATGTCCAATCTGTAATTCACAGGTCAAAACTGTTTTGAAAATGTTTGTACATTGATTTGTACAAAAACAATTAGGTTTTGCACACATTTTTTAATTTCAATTTTTCCATGCGAACACATAACATCGAAATGAGCACATAATGCCATATCAAATATGACATTTTCCAGCATAGAACAAAAACAGTTTTTTTATTCGACGAAAAGCATCAAATGCTATCCAATATAAGCACCCTTTCAAAATCTGACACCACATGAACAAAATTTTGTTGAGCAAGATTTGCATCGATTTAAGTAGGAATTTTTTTTTCAATTTAACATCAAAGTCCGGTTCCATTGTTCAATAAATTGAAAACAATTTTTGGAGCGAATAGGCCGAATCAAAATTTAATTTTAGGAAACTCTTATAAAATGTACAAATGATAAAAAGTCAAATAGCAAGTAAAACTTTAAGGTTAGGCACACTCGAATCTGTAAATTAAATTAGTGTTTAAAATTTCAATTATGTGCACTATAAAATTATGATAATTTGAAATTGATCAAATTTTCTCTTGAAATTAAATCATAAAACGTTCATTTTTCGAACGGGAAACGTAGAAAAGAAGCGAAGAAAATATAATGAAGAAGAAAAAAACATTTTTCCACTGAAAACATTTTTTTTTATAAAATGTGAACATTTAAATTCCGACAAAACTAATGAACAACGTTTTCATTGTTTTGGAAGAAGAGATACCGATTTCAAACAGAACATTGAACCGTTTATACAAAACTAATCACAATTACTTCTTCTAACAAAATTATTCATTATCAATATTTTGCCTTTGTTATTATAGTAATTTCAATGAGCTAACCGTATAGAAAAAAATACATTTATTAAATACCAAATGAATTTAAATGGAAATCGGTGGCGCGAAAGAAAGATCCTCAAAAATACGTATAAAGAATTAAATCCTTTAAACTAGATTATTACACCCCTTCGTACTCGCTGAGCATGTTTAGGGTATTTCAAAATATTCAGGAATTAAAATAATAAATAATAATTAATATTTTATCATTTTCTGATCTGATCTAATTTTGATTCTATCTGAGATTTTCTTCCGATGCCATAAATATCTGGCAAAAATGCTCAAACAAATATCTGGTTGATTTATTCTAGAATAAATTTCTGTTTACGTATTATTTGGGGATATTTTGTCACTCAACCGATCCACTTGTTATACGCCAACTAAACATCCAATAATCGAAATTTAACACCCCGAAATATACCAATAATGCTCCCTTTCCCATTTATGCTTTAATACAAAAATACTTTTATTTTCTTTAAAAATTAAAAAAAAAATGATTTACATCATGAAGTAACCGAATTAAAGTCTGGTAGAAATGCGTCGGATATCTATACTTTTTACATCAAATTATTGTTTTAACACAAAGTTTCAAGCAATTGTTTTGAAAACTACGAAAATGGCAAAAATTGTATGTAATGTCAAAATTTGGTAGAATAACAATTGAAATTCGGTAGAATAAAAACATCATATCAGTTTTTGTCGCAGATCAAACCGCCTGAATTGCAATGAAACGAAAATAATGCACATTTACGTTCCGTTTGTCTCGTTTCACCGCAACAGCTTTTGTTTTGCTTTGATCTACAATGAAATTGATATTACGTTTAATCCTAGAGTGAATTCAATTGTGAAATTTTGTGTTAAAACCATACAAAAAAAACGAAATATTCAATTCGAACCGCATCTGCAAGAACTATGAAGAAATTATTATTATTTGTGGGCGAAATGGTTAATTGAACAACTGCACACGTATATGCAGACGAGCTACTGTTTGGGGGAGGGAATTATGCAATGATCACGGACTTGGGGCATCAAGGTCTAATAAGGTGAAATTCTACATATATATTTTTTTTCATTCAAATGCAAAATTGATATCCGAAACATTTTTGACAAGAACAACAATTTAAAATCTCTTTGATGTATTTCTTTTATAAAACCCACATTATTTCGACTAACTTATACATAAAAAAAAAATAATTTAAACTGGAATATTGTTCAAGCATAGTTTTAATTTTTATCCATTGTGAAGCATTATAACGTCTTTTTGAAAAGATGTCAAATTTAAAAAAAAAGAGAAAATATTTGAGATGAAGATGCCCAAAAAAAGCCACACAAAAACAACCTGGAAAAAAGATGACAACCCGAAAAATAAAAATACACTTAAAAGATGGCCAAGAAAAAAAATTACAAAACATTCACATCCCCAAAAAAAGAAGTCAATCATCAAAACAAAAACATCAACTTAAAATGAAGCCACATGTGAAAACAAAAGAATGAAATGGAAAAAAAATTCAATCCATATTTTCATCACCCAATAAAATTTTAACCAATTTCTTTTCTTTTCAGCAATCACAAAAAAAAAATTATGTGTTTTATTTTGCATGCTGTTGTGGAATTGTTCATCAATCGTGCCATCCGCCCCCTTTTTCCTTTTTCTATGCCCAAATTTCGTTCACATCTTCAACGAATGCATACTGTTTTGAAAAGCATATGTTTAATTTGTTGAATTTTGAAGTTGTGTTAAATTACAACGATATCACCACAAGGCCAAAAATTCCAAATTTAAAAAAAAGAAACATAAATAACATTATATCACGAGTTTAAAAACAAAAAAGAAGAAGATAAAATGCGATAAAAATATATATACGATATTGGAAACACTTGTGAAAACCAAAAGTCGCGCGTTGACGATGTGAACGAATCTATTACTTCATTTATCCGTTTAAATCTGTGATACAAACCAAAGAAACTACCCATAAACCGCTATAGTTGGTCTAAATGTGATAGCAAATACCTGAACCAATCATTTCTACATATACAATCAAATAAGTCTTTTCGTCTGTCTTTTCCTCTTCTTCGATTGTAATCATTCTACCTTTTAGTAGTAGCTTTCTACCTTTGTATTTGTGTTATACCAATTTCGTTGTTTGTATTTCCAAAATTGAACATAAATGTGAATCGTATGGAAGAAGAAAAAAAATTCCATCCGTGAGTCATGTCGCTTGTATGTTCGTAAAAAAAACAACACTTCATGCATAATGAGCAGCGTATGCGGCTACTGTTTCAAACAACTACATAGAAAAAAACATATTCGTAGCGGCGAATGTCGACAACGACGACACCGACAACAAATATTCAAGAGGGCTATGAATCGGCTTTATCTGCATTTACACACAGTGCACATCATCGAAAGCAGCGTTATATTGTTTGTTGAATTTGTTTCGGGAAGACGTGAACATTCTGTGAACCTTTGTTCATTTTATCCAGTTGAATTCGATTCGCTGATCAGTTAAGACGCATCGTCATCATTCGCTCTGCAATTTTAAATTTTTATTCAGTTTATTTTAACAAACTAAGTGGTTTGAACGCTATATTCATTTGTTTTGAGCAAATTTGAAACTTAATTTTCGAAATAGGTGAGTAGCATTTCGTTATGTATTCAAAGTAACGCCTGGACAATTTACGACTAGTTGATACAAAAAGGAAATAAAACGTTTAAATTGCGCTGAATGTATCTTAATTTCAAAATAATTACCGTCTTCCTACGATTCCCGGCACAAAAGACATCGCCTGAAAATCAACCAAACAGACCAAAAATGAATTTGCCAAAAATATTGTGGCAAAAAAGACGAACTTTTTCTCGAACTGAAAATATTTTGGAGGTGAAAATTGATGTTATTCATATATTTCATTGGAGTCGCTTTATTAGCTCCGATAACGTCGCAATAAACATTAATTTCGGCAAATACAATTTTTTTTCTCTCGTTCCGTTCGCAAAATGCAATGCGCAAAAATGGCAAACCATACACTGGAGCACAATGGCTTGTGTGTGTATATATTTCGTGCAATGAAATCCGGTTTTTTGTGTATGGGCGGTGACGCTGATCGTTATAATTCGTTTATGTATTATTCTTGTATGAATTCGTCTCAGTCTTCTTTCGCCTCGGTGGTTTTTATTGTTGACGAAGTGAAAATGACAACAACAAATTCAATTAATATCTTTTGCTTCGACAAGAAACAAACAACAACATTCGGAATCGAAGCATTGCATTCTAGTCATTACGTTCGTCATCAATTTTCGTTCAATTCCAAAGTGTACGCGCGCTTGTATGCCATGTCCATTTCGTACATACCTTTTTTTTTTCATCGAAATAAATTCATGCATCGAAGATAGTAACCCCTTCTTCTCTCGTCCAAACTCATGTATACAGATGCGATGTCCGCTTATATTCGTTGTACATAACGAATACAATATACATGTATAATGTGAAATTGCATACATGGTCAACCGGCAAAATAGTAATAACCTTCTGTATTTGGTATCGTGGCAATATTTTTTTTCCGTTTGCAATTTCTATCGTAAGAATTGAAACAAATTATCGACATCGTCGTGAAGCTAATTGATTACATGCAAAATTGCTCACTTTCACAATTTATACATCAAACAATGCGGCTGCATGATGAAAAACGACAACTTTCCTTACATGTCCACGGCATCGAGACAAAAAGATAGACAGCCATCAGATTGTTAGCGACATATGATGAATCATTTGTAACATCTGCGAATGGAATACCATTTTCTATTGAAAAAAATATCAAAAAAGAAAAGGTTTGCGTGACCCGTGCGGTTTTCGATCATCAATTTTCATAACCGAAAAATTGAACACACACACGAATGTGCCATTTGGAGTGCACTTTGTCTATGAGTCACAATTTGAAGAGAAAAAAATATATGTTTCAAAACGTAACAAAATCAGTCCGCACATCTTTTATCGAGGCAACAACTGTCTTGAATTTCATTTGTAGTTCTCATTTTTTTCGGCTCTGCTCTCTCTCTCTCTCTCTCTCTCTCTCTCTCTCTCTCTCTTTCTCTTTCTCTTTCTCTTTTCACAATATTTATTCATTTTGTTTTTGCGTTTTTTTCTTTATGCTTTACAAGCAACACCACCACACGCATACACCGAGTGCGTTGAATTCTCTTCAGCAAACGTTCATGTAGAATGCTCAAATATGTTTTTAAGTATTGTATCAAGCGCTTCTATTTCTTATATTTTTTTTATCATGTACGAATGAATCATATACATATTTTTTTTCTTTCGTTCGTTTATTGCGTACTGTTTATTTGTTCATTATCCGCTTTGTTTCTTAACAGCGACGGTCTTTTTTTTCATTATTTCTATTTGCATACTTTACGTGACAGTTCTTTGTTTTCTCTCTCTCTCGATGTGTTTGTTTTATTTTGCAAAAAATTTATTTTTCGATGAAAGCAAAAACTATGCGCTATTATTCAACATTTCAGTCGACATTGTTGAGGTATAAAAAAGCATAACCTACGCGTACTGTCAATAAAAATCGAAAGAGTTTTTCTTCAATACGCACAATTAACGAGACCCCATAAATTTGAATGAAACAACGTCTTTTTTATGATCATTCTTGCGTGCATATTTTCATCTCAAGGCAGTTCATGCATACACATTTTTTTTATACATATTCAAATTGGCAAATGTCATTCCCAATGTTTTCCTTTTGAATGTCGTTATCCATCACGATTTAATAAAAAAACACTGTGCAAATAAATCATTTGGGTGTGTGTGAGAGCCCACAGTATCGAGTCATCTCAAAAAACATATGCATATGATCTTCAATCGATTCATTCTGAATGCAAATCATGACTTTGTGCATTTTGAGGAATAAAACTCGCACGACAGACTGCACAACATCAGCAAAAAAATCAAGCGCTTCATATGTTTAATTAAAACGAATAACACATATATAAATAAAGGCGAACTGTCACAAATTAGCATTAAGTTGATTGTCTACATCTTTTTTCCATTTGAACGTGTGCACAACATATGTGCACCCTGCATCATGTCGGGTGCGAAATAAATATGCATCACAAGCGCCACATATAAAATTACTGGCCATTTATGGTATGTGCTTGTGCTCACTTCAAATTTTTCGCTATGCCTCTTGACTCGGTTTCACATTTTTATTTAAGGAATAAAAAGCATAGCGATTCTATTTTTCCATATAAAAACATTCGACTCAAATGTTGTTGGAGACGAGTTTTTTTTTATTTGAATGTTGATTTATTTGGCACGAATTACACATCAACGTTAAGTACGTTCTGTGGATTTTAGACACGCTAAATGTGATTAGCCACCGTAATTCCGATAAGGTAAAATCTGTAACGGATTTTAAAATAATGCGCATTTTTGGTTATAAAAACTATACGACATATACGATATTGTGCGTTCAACTGTATACTTGTTTATTTGTTTGTTGCTTTAAATCGTTGGAATAGCATGAGTCATTTGAATTGAATTGATAAAAGTGAGCAGTGAGCTGTTGTTTATTTGATCATCCAATAAAAATTAAAAAAAACACGTTAGACTTCACAGATTTCATTAGGTTTTTACCTCTGGCGCTTCGGTTTTTAAAGTACCATGTTTTAATTGGCTGTTGCTATTGTATTACACAAAAACCATTAAACAGATGGTTCCCAACAAGGCATCGAACTTTTCGTTCTAAACGGTCGACTTTATCATAATTCTTTAAAGATTAAGTATCGATTTCATTGTTTCGAGTGAAACAAAAAACTCGTTTTATTCACCAAGAAAATGCAGTCGGTGAAACCAAACCGGAAAAGAAGTTGGCAAGAAATATCTCGACGAAATCATTGAGAAGTCAAAATAATCAACCAAATGAGAGCACATTCAGATTAGATTGCTTGATGAACACGTTGAAATTCACAGAATAACAATTTTTTTAAACGTGTTAAATGAGAGTTAAGAAAATGGCAACAAAAAGCAAACCAAGAAGCTGAGTCTGTAGAGCGAAGATACGACCGAGTTTGTAATTAGTTTGAAAAAGAAAATATGTATATTAAATTCATTGCTGCTCAAACACTGTTAATTATGTCGAACTAGTTGAGAACCAATTTTCTAGCTTTTTCTCCGGTTTTCTTTAATTTTTTGTTTTGTTTTACATATTTCTATGTGAATACGGTAAATCCAATTATATATTTTATTTGTGATATATTCTAATTAATGGTTTTATGCCTTCGGGTCTGGCATTGCACCGATAGCATTCAATTTGTCGAATACGAAAAAAGTCGTACAGTCTTCAAGTTACGCGACATTGAATTTAGATTTTCTCGGAAATTGTTTATGGTTACACAAAGTGCGGCTTCATTTTCCTTGTCATTCAAGTGCTCTGGTTAAAAGACAGTTTAATGAGCTCACTCAAAGTGAAACGAAACATATGACAGAAAACATTCCATTAATCGCCATCGGAAAAAAAGTATTCATATAAAAACAAAAAACTGCATTGTTGCTGGTAGACACACATCTTTCAATTTGACACTGTTTATGAATTGGTTGATGTGCTGGCACCCATCCATATTTTCAGATTTTGAGTGTCGAGACTTTTACGTCTCTCTCTCTCTCTCTCTCTCTCTCTCTCTCTCGCTCTCTCTCTTTTATTTACCACATAACTATTATGTTGAACTATGTAATCAGCTGTGTGCAACAGACTATGCAACCGATTTTTTTGGTGCTCATTGTATGGAAATTGATTGTTATATGTTATGTGCTAGTGCTTGTGTCTCTAGCGATCCCTTCATGGAATAAATTTGAGTAAATTTTGTTTCATTGCCAAGTGTGCATTCACTTTCTTTTTGGACGATCTTGACTTCAATTGAATATGCGCAACGCTCAACTTATATCGATTTTGATTCTCAGACATTGCCACCCCACCGCGGTTACATGCATCGAAATACATATATGACACGCTATATTTTCTATCGTCGTTGCACATGAATCATTGATGAAAATCTCTTTGGGGAATTCATATGATGCCATTGAATAGCAAAATCGCATTGATAGACTATTTTGATAGATATGGTTTGTGTCGTGTATTGCTTTTTATGATGTGGATACCATTTTCGGAACTCAAGCGTGTTTCATATGAAAATGAGACGCTGACTCATTGTCCACTATTCTCGAACATATTCAAATTTATGCGAATTAAACTGACTCAATTGAATATATTATCGATATTGTTTCTCTCTTTCTCAATTGTTTATCAATTTATATATAAATAGACAAAAAAATCTAGTCATCTTTTCAAGAAATGTTGTCAGCAAAATATTTTGTATTATTCCATAGATATTTCCAGCAAATTGTTGGCCAATCTCAGAAAAAACTATTCATTGTAAATAAAAACGATGGTAATAAAATTTCGTATATTCCGGCATTTCAGTTCCACGCATTCCTTTTTTAATGAATAAAATCCCAGCATTTTGTGTCCCAACATAAAGAAAACGTGTGATATTTTCTACCAAGAGGGATTATTTATGTACAGTTCAGCCATTAATGACAAAATCAAATGCTAAATATTTTTACAACTGCAATAAATATGATTAGGCGTGGTAGTGGAGTTAATTTAAATTTGAGAAAATATAAACCTAATAAATCGAAGGAAGCTATGGAATGTATGAATTCGGTATGATTCTATATATGTGAAGAAAGAGCAAAGTTTATTTATTTATGTTTAAAAAAAATGTGCCGTTGTGCGAACGATGTTTGAATTTTGACCCAAAATGTCAATTGGAAATTTGAAATGTGTGTATGAGTAAAAAATCGAATTCATCAACATTTTACAAGTGGCAATTAACTGAAATGGGATTTTTTTTGTGTATGTCGTACATTCTCAACAAATTGCATTGCTTCAACAGAATTCACTTGAAATTTATGGAACATAAAAATTATTTACGCTTTTTAAATGGGATTATGCATTTTTGTTCATTTTGTTATGTCAACAATTTCTTGATTTGAATTCTTATCGTAATGTCAGCTAGAGGAAGTCACGTTTCCATTTATTGTTTATGATTATACAAGTGTTGTTATTACGAATGTTCGTGATCACACATCAAATCAAATTAGAAAAGTAAAAATTACGCTTTTATTTTATTTTAACGACGATTGGTTGTAGTTGATTAAAAACCATTTTTTTGCTATTTTATCATTTACAGAAAGATGTCGGCTCCAAAATTAGAAGACTTACCAAAAGTAGCAGTTGATCTGAAAACTCAATTGGAGGAGTTCAGTACTGATAAGCTAAAGGATACAGTTACCAACGAAAAGATCGTTCTTCCAACAGCAGAAGGTGAGACCATGTCATTTTGTAATTGATAACACATACATATACTCATTTTTTTCGATACATTTATAGATGTGGCCACTGAAAAGTCACAGCAAGACTTGATTCATGGCATCGAAGGTTTCGACGCTTCGAAGTTAAAGCATGCACAAACTCAAGAGAAAAACCCATTACCGGATAAAGATGGTAAGCCTTGGAACTGTCAAAAATACATGTATTATCAATGAAAGTTATTTCATTTCTCCTCTTTTTTTCTCTCCCTGAATAGCAATCGAGCAAGAGAAGGAAAAATTGAATTTCATCAATGGAATCGAGAATTTCGACTCCAAGAAATTGAAGCATACTGAAACCTTGGAGAAGAATCCATTGCCAACCAAAGAGGTCATCGAAGAAGAGAAGCAAGCATAAGCATTTGGCTTAAATGATCAATCCATGGTCCATTTCATAATAATTTTACATTACTTATTGCAAGACATCATGATTTCATATGAAATATTTTAATTATTAATCGAAAATTCCGCCCGGTGCATACAATAGACTTTGTTTCCAATATTTTGTGATGAAAACTAAAAAAAAAACACTCAAATATCAGGTTGAAAAGCAACACACAGTGTATGTGATAAGTTTTGTTTTTAAACATCTCTCAGTCGATCCATCAAAGTAACTTTCAAGCAATTTTCTTAATTTCATGCAAGGATTTGAACAAAAACGAATAATTTTTTTTATTGATTACGTAATGAAAGATAAAATCTGAAATGTATTAAAATAAGAACAAATCAACGCTCAGATGTAATACAGAAGCAAAGTGATGTCACACATTTCCATTCAACATTTATGATGAAAGATTTTTTTTTTCAATTCTTGTCCGACATTTACGATTCATTTTCAATACGATAACATTGGGGAAGTGATTCATGACTACGCCAATTTATCGGTCAGACAAAAGTGTTTCACTCTCTTTTTGTTTCTGTTCAATGCATTCAATTATTCTAGAGAAGAGCGATAAATCAAGATAAGAAGCAATTTAACAATTTTAACATTTATATTTATACAGTGTATTCAGAATAAAATGGAACCATTTTAAAAATGCCAAATCTAATATACGAATCAATTTTATAATTTTATACAAATAAAATCGGCTTTTTTGGAAACGAAGTCAATCGCATTTTAGTTTCATCGATTGGATCATTCATTGCAGGATTATGTATTGTTGCTCTTCTTGTATGAGGCATACGATTGAAGTATATACAAGTATGAAGGTAAGATTCGGATCCTTTTGATTCCATATTCAGGTTATCGGTAACATTTGTTTAGGCAACAGTATTTTTAATATTCGTATTGGAGTGAACTTGATTGGTGAATCAAGAGAGAATGTTGTCATGAAGATTAAGGAGTCGTGTATTTTAAAATAGTATTCAGTTATAATTGGCACAATATTCTATTGATTCGTAATAGCAACTGATGAATATTTCTGTTTGACTTGTACACTCACTTGTTTTGTAAACTTCTTACTTCTAATTTTGCAACTTTGAAAGATGTATTATTTTCTACGAACAAAACAACAAAAATATTAATAGATCGAAAACAGACTCAGTTACAAGCTAAGCAAATAATTAAACACTATACCATGTGGAATTATCAAAAAAAAAAAAAAATTAAATTGAAAAAAAACATTAAGGAATATTTGGCTCGATTAGAAATTAAGCAAGATCTTAAAGGTAAGCAAATTATAAGGAATTTGTGCAGTAAGTTTACTGTTTGCTTTCAAATATAGATATTTTTGAAAAATTACGGTATAAAAGAAGTACGTATATCTGGTACTCTATCAATACAAGATAGATATTTTGAACGTTGAGGCTTGATTAATCTATCGCAAATTTTCCGATATTTGTAAAAATGTTACGATTCAGCTCACTCCTTTTGTGCTTGACTGTGTTCAACGTAGTCAAAGGTTTTAATGAAACGGTAGTTACAACCACAGGTCCGATAAGGCAAGGTACTGAATACGGTTTGGTATAATAAACCGTATTATTCTTACAGAGGCATCCCATTTGCTAAACCTCCAATTGGTGAACTTCGGTTTAAGGTATGAACTTCAATTCCATATGAAATTAGTTCAATAACACACTATAAGGCCCTTGAAAGTTCGTAAATTAAATGTAAATGTAGTTTTATAGGCAGCTTTTTAGCCATTTGATAAATAAAAATTAACCTATAATAAATGTTCAGCAAAATATTCAAATTCTTTCTATCGAAATTATCAAAAATATTGTTTACCAATATTCATTACATTTCTTAAAAGTTCCAACAAATTTTTAGTACATCCTTCCATGGTTACCATTTATTTTAATCATAAAATCAATTTCGCAGGCACCAGAACCGATAGAAAAATGGACAGAACCATTTAAAGCATATGAATATGGAATTTGGTGCTCCCAACCCGCGAAAGCGGATAAAGAAACAAGCGAAGATTGCCTGACACTGAATGTGTTTGTGCCAATTCTTAAGCAAAAAGAAAAATTGCCAGTATTGTTCCTGATTCCAGGCGGAAATTTTGCCACTGGATCTGGTAGCGATTTCATGTATGGGGCGGATTTTATGATCGATCATCAAGTTATTTTGGTTACAACAAATTATCGAATGAATATATTTGGTTTCATGTCTTTGGGAACACCAGAATACTCCGGAAATATGGGAATTAAAGATCAACAGCTTGCCATGAAATGGACCTATGAAAATATTGAGGCATTTGGTGGCGATAAAAAAACGAATTACTTTGGGCGGCCTTAGCTCGGGTAGGTCTTTAAATAATACTTGTTTTATTTACATTTTTTTTATATTTCGTTAAAAAGTTGAAAATATCGATTCATAATACCAGTTGATATTTTGAGTATTTCGGGAATATAAAAAATATTCCACGGAATTTTAAAAACAGATAGATTACACACTTTGTTTTTATATTCAAGGCTCAGCCAGCGTTGGTTTGCATCTGCTCAATAAAGAATCGTCAAAATATTTCAACCAAATACTCGTCATAAGTGGAGCACCGAACAGGTATCATACCTATCAGAAGGGCGACCATAAATGTCTGATTACGCAGTTTTACAATAAATTTTCTAAAGGTCAACCCAGTGATAAGGATCTGATCAACTTTATGAAAAATGCAAATGCCAGCGAAATTCTTAAGTTCTTTAGTGAACATTATACACGGAAACGTACACCTTGGAATTGGATTGTCGAAAGTAAGAAAGAGAAACATTTCTTTAAAATTAAAAAGTACACGTATAAATGAAGCCAACTCATTAATATTGTATGGGAGCGAAAGAGAAATGGATAAGAAAAATCTAATTTCTTTTGCTTTCGCGAAGCTCTAATGTTTTTAGTCTCTTTTATTCTCAAACAAGACTATGGCGAAAGATCAAAATCTTCAGATCTTGCCATATTCAGTGGTAAAAGATCAGGGCAAAAAATCGTAAAAGATCATTCCAATGAAACTATATTGGAAAATGTTCAACTGAATTTTTTTTATTGATTTATAGAAAAAAACGCAATACGACCAATTATTATAGATGAATCAATGGCTGCATTCGAGAAAACAAAGAAAATAGACAAACCTGCATACTATACAGTCACAAGCTATGTAAGTTTTCATTGTTTTATCACCACATAAGCTATTTCGTAAAAATTGGCATTTTTGAAAAGTTATTTGCTAAAATTTTCTATCAAAAACAACCATAAATAGCATTTAATTCGACTGTAGCTGCAAACTGTAAATCATTTTTCTTACTTGGAATTGTTGAAAACTAAGATCAATGGATGTTATTTATAGGTTTTTTTTCGATTTTTATTTCTTGCTCATGTGAAATCGAAATTAAGTTTGGCGATCACGAGTAATTTACCAGACATTTATTTCGATATTTCAGGAACAATTATCCCGATTCAATATCGCTGGAACAGACTATACAGAACCCAATGCTGTTCGTCAATATATCAACGATTTCAATGTTGATTTACCAATTTTCGGATATCGATCCGTACTTGATAGAAAAGTAAGTGCTTTAAAGTTTTTCTAAGGCATTGTCACATTACGGGAACATCTTAAATATTTCAATATAAAAAGAAAACGACGATAATATTTAGAAATAAAATATTCTATTTCTAGCCTGACTACCTCAAACCTGTACTTAAAGAATTCAAAGATGCTTATATCAAAATCAACGATTCCACTACCGAGCAAGATCTATTAGTGCAACGTACGATCTTGGACTCAGATATCTACTACACATATTGTATTGAAAAATGGATTGAGCGACACGTCGCTATTTCAACTAAAGACACCTTTTACCATCGGTTAGTTTTCACGGAAATATTTTTAAAATCGAAGAGAAATGAAACGCCATAAAACTTTTTTTTTATAGATTTTCAGTGCATACGGTAAATAATCGACATCCAGAGTTTTCGTATGATTTTCCAATTGCGGGCCATGCCGACGATATGCCGTATGCATTCAGAGGCACCTTGTTTTATAACCCAAAAACTGTATGGGAAAAGAAGGATTCTGATAAGGACCATGCATTAGCTTTTAAAATAATGAATGTGATGCAAAAACTATTCACTAACTTCATAAAACATGGGTAGCGCAATTATGATTTAATTTTGATGTGGAACAATATTTGATGGTCGTTTTGCAAATTACAGAAAACCTGTACATAATGGTGATCCAATGCCGGAATCTAGGGGGCAGACACCTATGAATCCAGTGTGAATTATTTGATTTCTATGAAATCTTTAATTCTTGCGATTTCGGTGATTTCTCGATTCCAAACCTCAATATTGGACATAAAATACACTTATATACAAAGCTAATTTCACTGTGGTAGTGTGCGCCTATAGTAGAAGTCGTACACATAGTGTGTGTGAGGTACAATATACACAACATTTGACAGAAATCAAAGAAATCACAAAAATTGAATTCTGCGATTTCTGTGATTTTAATGATTTTAATGATTTTTGTGATTTCTGTGAGTTTTGATTCCACGTGTCTACCCCCTAGGCCGGAATTCAAACCAATTAAACGATCAAGCAAAGCAGATCAATTTGATTTTGTTGATGTGACAAATTCCGGTTTATTTCCACGCAAATCAGTGACTGAAGGTAGAACGAAGTTTTTGGATCAAATAATCAAAAAAGTGAAGGAATTGGTTAAAGAGCATGGGGATGAACCTAAGAAAACACAAATCGAACAGCTGTGCGATGTACTGAAGGCTAAAGCTAATCAGGCAACAAGCTCGAGAAAATAGAACCACAGATCCACGAATCGATCACTGATTAGATCGATTCTCCTTCTATTCGACATCATATACAGGATTTACCCATAAATTAAATATTCATTCAATATTCTTAAAAGGTATGTCTTTTCGAACGGCATTCATCCAAATGTACTTGACATTGCTCAACTTCTTATAATTTAATAAAAAAAAACATAATAGAAAAATGTGTTCAATTCTCTTTTTTTATTGTTTTCAATGCAGCATTCTTGATTTTTCACACAAAACGCGATATGACTAACATTTCTAAAGAACCCATAAAACTCGTCTCGTTCGTTTTATTTCATCGTTCCTTCCAAAAATAAAAAATAAAAAAACAAAATTATGTTTAACATTCATATTCGTTTCATTTAAAATCATTAAAAATTGAGAGAGTGTACGGATCATGGCTCCAAACGAGATACAATACAAGTTTGCGTTGCTGCTGACGGAATCAATGAAGCTGTCAACGCAAAAGAGTGCCTACTTGAAAAAAGATCTCGTATACACAACGACAAACATTTCAATCCTTTGCGTCCAAAATACAGTACTTTTTTTGTGACGCTAACCGAGAAAAATACACCATTGTCGTCAATCGATTCGTATAAATGCGCATGCAAAATCGAATGTAGTAGTGCGTGCAGTGATTTTCTCACACCGACAATATCGCAGAGGCTTTTGAGACGATATAGTTCAATACAAGCGCATTATCGGCATACACTTACAAAGTGGTGACAGTTTGTATCATTTCTTCAGCATCGAAAATATTCCAGTTCAAGTGGTCAGTTTGATTTCATATAGATGCTAGACGATGACATGAAAACCGTTAGTAATATCATCATTGCACGTAACGATCCGAGAATCATTCTCAACACACCATTCGCTTGAGATAGTTCATTTTGTTTCTCCTTTCGAATCGATCTGCTGACAATTGTTTTTTTGACTCCTGTAATTTGCGTTGAATGTTGAATTTCAAAGTGTTTTTGTGCATTAATTTACGTCAATTAAATACCAAGAAATTGTTTTGTTACATTTCTATTGTAAACACTGCCAAACATAGCGAACAAAATATACGAAAGAACGATTAAGTCTGTGCGTCGAATAAAGTTTGGTTAGTTTTTTTTTTGCATACCTTCATTTCCATGTGCAACACGTTTCGCATTCTGTAGATACACCGAATTGAGTGCTCCGTTTGAACAAATAACGGGAAAGACTAAAAACATATCCAGTGTATTTCTTTCTCAATTAGTTTGTTGATCAACTAAGTGTTTTTTTTTTTTCATTTGTGACTCTTTGAGATTGTTGCAACGGTGAACAGAAAAAAATGCCAACGATACGTTTTAGTCGACCATTTGCTTCGGGAAGTCGACCGACCCCGGATCCGTTTGATAAATTCCTCGATTCAAATGGCCTTTATCGAAAGCATACGCCACGCGATTCGACGAATTTGTTTCGTGTCGTCTCTGAGCAATTGTACGATACACAAGATCATTACAAACAGGTGCGCAAGGATTGTGTGAATTTTATGATAAAACATCGTGATCAATATGAATTGCTGGTACAAGGTGATTTCGATGAATATGTACGTGAAATGGCCAATAATGACACATTCGGTACGCTGATGGAATTGCGAGCAATGGGCTACTTGTTTAAACGCAACATTAAATTGTATCGACCATTCGATTTGGGCATTTGGTTCATCGAAGATCCCGAGTATACCGAGCCAGCGTTGCATGTATTTCATGGTTCTCACTTTGATTCCATCTTCAAAAAGTCATACATTATCAAGGCGGCATTCTGTCAATGTAAGTTTTATAATTATGAGCCATTCAGATTGAAAAAGAGATAAGACAATAAACATGATTCATTTTTTCCATCATGAATGCAGCAATTGTTTACGAAATTCTTTACAAAAGAGTGTTCAGATTACCCGATATCGAATATTCGGTGGAAACAATGCTGCACAGCGATATAATCCATGAGCCGAGCTCACATGAATATGAAAACGATGAATATGCAACACACATCATTTTCGAGGATGGTCGCCAATTTCAACTGGATCGACCTGGTAAGCGCTGCTTTCTATTTGAAACTTTCAAAATAATATCAACAAAAATCGTTGATTGTTTTTTGTTGTAGAAAATACGCTCTGTATTCTGAATGATCCAAAACAATGTCACTTCCACAATAAAAATTTCGAAGAGCTTATGAAATACCACTCAAAGCGATATGAAAAATCAAATTTATCCGATAAATTTTGTTCGTGCGTTCGTCAACTGTTATTTGATGGTTTGTTCATACCAATTGCAATTGCGCTGTTTGGGTGTCACATTTTTTATTTACATATTTCAGGAATAACACCATTCCCGTATAAGGTTGCTAAGGCACTTGACGAGAATATTTATCGAAACGTTGAGTTTGATTCATGGAATGAAATGCGCAAATTGGCACGGTCCAAACAAAACGTATCCTATAAGGTATTTTAGTCATTTTTGAATTGTCAAATTCAAATTGTGAATGTGACAAGAGATTTTCATTGTTTATAGGTTGGCATTGATTGCTTGGTTCGATTAAACGATATCGAAGACGAACTGTTCAAATGCCGCATCAAATCGAAAGGATCGTCTTCCAATACATACGTGGTTTACATTGAGCAATTGGGTGAAAAGCGTTTGGTGCCATTTACAAGTTTGCGTCCGTTAAACGATAAGCGGTGTGAAAGTATTAAATCGCGCCATCATGATCCGTGCGCAAAGCCAATATCGAAGAAAGCAAGCATCGAATATGTGTCGCAGCATCAGACACGCGACGCATCATTACACACACTCAAACGAGAAAAGTTTGACGATTATGTGTTTGATTACGACGCCATTTGCGAAATATCAAAGACGCTGGACCTCGACTCGTACATAAATTTGTCAAATTTTCCAACGAACAATCAACAAGAAATCATTGCATATCCATTGGCATATTCACAAAATCCAAATATGAATACAAACAACGGTAGTAATAGCAACAATAATAATACGGTTGCTACAAAGATGAAAAATCGCAATCAAAATTCGAACAATGCAAAGGTTTCTGATTCCAATGAAAAGCAACAGCATCAGCAACAGCAACACCAAATGTCAAAGGCGGATGATGAAATTCCATACACGAAAAATGTTCACGACACCAAACAAGAATCACAAAGCGGCTATTATTCACATCAGGCACCTGAGCAACATGTTGACACCGGCACACAACAACCAATGTCAGGTTATTATTCACAAAGTTCGACACCGGTATACTATTGCTCAACATCCGAATACAATGAACCGAATCAAGTGTACCAATCAGAGATGGTGTTGCCACCACATGGAAGTGTATATACGATTCCCGCGTATCAAGCACCACCAATCCAACCAAATTTATACACGCCAATCGCTGGAAACCAAATGCCACATTATCCAGTTCATGTTGGTAATTGGCCGGCATACAATCAACCAAACAATGCACAAGGTATTATTTTTTCTTCGTTTTTTTAAGGTTAAGTTCTTATGGTATCATTGAATTTTATTCGTTGATGTGATTAGGCTATGTTTTTTCGGGTCCACCAATATATCCAATGCCACCTATTCCAACTACGGTTCCATATTTGCCGTTCCTTAGTCGTGGACTACTCCGATCAAATGGTCGCATCAATTTCAATTCGACCTATGCATACGCACCGAATGGAGATGATCTTCCATGTAAGTATACATTCACTGACTCAATGTGGCACTTGCTTGAATGTTTCGCCTCATTTTCGCAGTGAATGACAAGGCATCGCTGAAGTTTTACTACAATCTTGGCGTGGAATACTACAAATTATTGCAACAAGTCTATGGTACCGGTCAATTGATGGCAATGATCGACGGTGAACCATGTGTTGAGAATAATTTTGATCAGCAATCAAGCGAAAACGAAAGCCAACAAAATCAGTTGGTTTCGGATATGCAGCAAATGAACTTTGAATCGAATGACAACGATGTCCAAACATCGCCATCTAAGGTAAGCAAATGATTAAACACTCGTACACATGCATTTTGCTGAGAGAAATGTGTATTTTATTCATAGAATCCAAGAATTTACAACGAGTATTCATACGGTCGTCGCGGTGCGAATCCGAAGTATAAACGAAACGATAATCGACCAAATGCCGGAAAACATTTTCAAGGATCATTTCAAGGTACATTTGCTGGTCCAACGTCGAAATCGTACTCAAAAAATGGTCAAAAGTATATGAACAATCAGCAAAGTGCAAGCAGCAGTTATGATGGTACTCCGGTAAAGGAATTAAGTGGAAAATCCCATCACCAAGGTCACAATATGCAACCGAAACGCGATCAAATGAAGCCAGACAATGAAATGGCCATGGGAAACAACGGTTTTGGTTCCAATGTTCCACCGTATCCGTTTCATGATCCAAACGATCAACATCTCGGACCACCTGGAAATGGTAAATACGAACGAACATGGCAGCGCTTCTGGTTTGTAGTAAATTCATTTTCATTTATATTCTTTTCGTTTTAGTGTTCCCACGCATGACTCCACCATTTGACAGTAGACGTGCACCGCCGGCGATTCAAACCATTCCAGGATATCCTCAAGTACATGGCGTAAGTTAATTTTGTAAATTAAATTCGATTCGAATTCAGGTTTTCTACAAAGTTCGGTTTAACATTCATCTTACAGAATTATTGGATGCCAAATCCACCACCAAACATGCACATGGTACAACCCCAGCCGCAACAACTGCAACAACAATCGCAGCAGCAGCAGCAACAACAACAACCATCAAGTCAATCTTCGTTGAATACAAGCGCTGGTTCTTCAAACCCATCCCAATAAACTTATTAGGCAAATTGAAATCAAACTCAATCAAATTAGTTCAATCCAAACGCAACATGGTCATGAACGCACTTAATTGCAAATAGCTAATACTTCAATGATTAAGTTGCATAGATTACAAAAACTATTAATTACTTCTTTTTTATTTATACGCAAAGCGATCAATTCCAAAACATACTATTCGTACTCATTCAAATGTAGCTTAATCATAAAACACTACTATTCATATCCTGAACGACTCGAAAAATGCACTATTTTGTTTTGAAATGCTCCAAATGTGATCAGTCGGTGTCTTTGAGCGATTCATTTATTTGCACACAAAATCCAATGGTGCAAAATACGTACAGTATATTTCTTCACAGCCACAAAACAATAGAGCCTTTTTGGATGTTTTGATAGCATTTATTTTTCGATTAAAAGGAGGGTTCACTGGCAAACCGCAATATTTCGAAATATTCGGTAGAAGAGCTGATAAAATTAAATGTTTAATTGAATTCAACTTTAATTTAGAAGTGTAATGGCCACGTTTAAATTAGTTTACCATAACATAGTTGACACTTCACAGGCTTCATTTGATTTTTTCATTATTTTTTGCATACAAATAAAATTACTACTTAAAATTACTATTGAAAAAATAGTTAAAAAAATATTTTCGTATATTACGTTATATTATAAAATAAAAGGCGTGAAACATTTTAGTAGCATGCTAACGTTCAAAACTTAATTAAATCAAACTTGTATTATTAAGACCTTTTTTTTTACACACATTTCAGCTATGGAATTATAAATTGGAAGAATAAGGTAAAACCAAGATGAGCGAACCAACTGTCTAAAATCGATTTTGACTATTATTTGAATTGTGAAATGCAAAGGAGAAATGATACGTCTGAATTTTTAAGAACACAGTTTAATTAACTTCTATTTTTGAATGGACACGTTCACTTTTACAGTCCCAAATTACACTTTGATGACGTTTCTGTTGTCGAATCCTTGCCTATTGTCCATTCGATATTGAAAGTACATTTAAAACAAATTAGAGTTTATGCATTTATCAAATCAACATCAAACAACTGAAGTACATGATATATTTTTGGGAAATTGAGGGAAAGTAAACAATGTTTTTTCAGCTGTAACGCTGTATATTTTTGAACACTTCATCATTGAAATGCGATTCTGAATACGTTTATAAGCTAATAAACGAATTTAAATCGGATTTATGGAAATTCTTCTATCCTGCACATACACATTTTGTCACAACTATTGTACAATTTAAATCGGAAAATGTAATTTGATGATATATATTTCATCTGTCAAATAATCTATTGAGATCTTTCTTAATATTATAAAAATTAAAATAGAAACATCCCTCACACTACGCCAAGTTTAGGCACGATAGAGTTAGCGATTTGTTTTATGCAACATGTTTTTCACTTTTAATATATCTATGGAAATTCTGATAAATGTATGCCTAAATTTATATTATTTATTTATTCATGACCTTGAATGTATTAAAATTATAAACAAAAGCTAAGAGAAAATAAAAAAAAAGTGAAATTCTAGTCCAAATTAGATCCGATAATGATCAATTGAATCTGTTAAAATATCCGTGAGCTCAAAAAATGTGTTAAAGTAAAAGAGCAACATGTTCGAATATAAATGATGTATGGGCAAGTTGCAGTTTTATTTTGACAAATTTCTTGAGGCACGAATATTCTAGCCGGTTCAATTTATTCTTTTATTATTCAAATAGTTTGAATTTATTGAGATTAAACCCTGTGTGAATTTCTTTATCAAGGCTAAAAATTATGACATTAATTTCGACTCAAATGTTATTATTAATTTTTCGATTAATCAACACGCGTCTTCAATTGAAAAATTGTCAAAATTTTATGTTTCTCTTTTCATTAAGATGATATAATCAAAATGAGTTTCGTTTAACATTTTCTCTCGTACAATGCGTTTGTTGATTGTTTCGATGATATGAACAATCAAATTATGTTTAGTTTCCACAAAATCGAATTAGCAGCCGTTTTCTCTGAATCAAAAATATCTCGGTGTATAGAGATACTTATCCAAATGTTTTTTTTCTACATGTGTATAGATGGCGTTCTTACAAGCAATAAAAGAAAGCTCATGATCAGTCGATTCCATTTGAATTGAAGCAATTTCTCGTATTTTTGATATCTCAGAGAAAGAGAAGAAATCTCTAAGACTTTTCTTTAATTTTATCGATTGCAGCAAAAAAATAATGATTCTATATAAAAGCTTGGACGACGGTAATATTCAATTAAAGTACATACATCATATTGCACTATGTTCAACAGCTGATGGTCACTAATAACAGCTGATAATAGCAGCAGCTAGTCAGATGGCTTGAGGTCTGCTTATCAAAACGGAAAAATGTTTTTCTGGAATGAAAAATTTACGACTACTTTCTATTGTTATCACTTGAACGCATTCGTTATCTGTATTTTATTTGCTTTTCAAGCTGTTTATTTTGTGAACGGCTTTAATCAGTATTATAGGCAAATAATTTTAAACGAAATTCGCTTATCGCTGAAAAACAAAACATCATTCCAAACGAAAACAGAATCAGTTATTAGCCAGAAGGTGGTCGTACGAGGTGGATTTTTAATAGCTAAGCTACCACTTCCAAATTTGAAGTGTCATTTTAGATATTACCGATTTTTTATTGCAAATTAGAGCAAAATTATGTCAAAGTGAGTGATTATAATTGTAAAAAATAAGATGATTATTGTGTGTATAAATATTTGTAGTAATGTGGGTCACAAGTGGCTTGTAAATACATTCTTACTATTTAATTGTATTGTCTACATTCCAAATTGGTCAGCTGATATTAAAAATAAATATGCTGATATTAGTAATTACAACGCAAACGGAAGATTTCAAGTTTGGATAATATATAGAAAGCTTGAGCGAATCCGGTGGGGACATTGCGTGATAAATATACTTTTTTCTGGATTAGTCTAGTATCTAATTTATAGTAAGAGGTCAATATTGCTTTTCAAAGAAAATTATTAATACTTCAAAAGTTCGGCCACCATGTAATACATGTATTTGATTTCAAAGGTTTTTCAAACAAAAAATAAAACTTTCTGAAGATTTTGATAAAATTATGAATGATTTACGTAATCAAGTGAAAAAATGTGATAACGATAACTGTATCGAAGAAGAATATAGTTCAATCACTCAAGCATAAGTCGCGAAAAGTATAAACAACCCGAGAGCTTCAGCTCTTATATGTTTTCAATGAGCCCTTTCGTACAAAAATATTAGATTACTTGTTTGTATGCAATTAAGATTATTATCTTGGAAGCTTTATCATTAACTGATCTCAATTACCGTTTACAGCTCATTGTTTTTGCGTTCAAAACTGATTGCATGTAATCATGTAAAAACTTTCCTCAATACAAGAGCTATGTTTTCAAGCAGTGGTTATCTTATTGACGATCCAAAGTACTCATTTTTGAAAACCGATTTGAAATTGGAACGCACAAATCCTGGTGTATATAATGGAAAATGGTATGGAAATGGTCCTGCCGTCAAGTCAATTGGTATTATTCTCCATATTTTCATCTGATCAACTGTTTGTACTACTAAATTATTTGCAATTGAATAGACCCTGCAACTGGCAAAGTTATAGCCGAAGTGTCCACCGGAACCGTTCAAGATTATGATGAATGTGTGAAAGTAGCCGTTGATGCTTATAAAACATGGAGCACCATTCCAGCCCCTCGAAGAGGTGAAATAGTACGTCAAATCGGAGATGAGCTGCGTCAAAAGTTAGATCCATTGGGGAAATTAGTTTCATTAGAAATGGGAAAAATACTGCCAGAGGGTGTGGGTGAGGTGCAGGAATTCGTTGATATTTGTGATTTTGCCGTTGGTTTATCACGAAGTTTTGCTGGTCAAGTAATACCGTCAGAGCGATCAAAACATGTTATATTAGAGAAATGGCGTCCACTTGGTTTGGTTGGAATAATTAGTGCCTTTAATTTTCCGTGTGCCGTTTATGGTTGGAATGCAGGTAATGATGATGAATAAATAAAAAAGAAAAACGATATTGAATATTCGATTGATTTTTCAGCGATTGCGCTCACAGTTGGAAATAGTGTTTTATGGAAAGGAGCTGACTCCACGCCATTGATTTCGGTTGCGACAACAAAAATTGTGGCCGATGTATTCGAAAGAAATAATTTGCCATCGGTTGCAAATCTCTGTCAAGGCGGTGTCGACATTGGAAAGGCAATGGCAAAAGATGAAAGAGTTAATTTGTTAAGCTTCACTGGCAGTACTGCCGTTGGACGAGACGTGGGAGTCGAGGTGCAAAAACGTTTTGGAAAATCTCTCCTTGAGCTAGGTGGCAATAATGCATTGATTATAAATGATGACGCAAACTTTGAAAATGCTTTAGACGCCGCCTTCTTCGGCTGCATCGGAACAGCCGGACAACGTTGCACTACAACCAGACGTCTTATTGTTCATGAGAAATTATACAACGATTTCTTAAAGGAATTGAAAAAGAAATACAAATCGGTGAGTGCAATGAATCAGGTTGAAAATATCCAAATACAACGAAATTTTAAATATATTTCAAATGTTGCGATTAATTTCCAAATATTATAGCTGCTGAAACGAGTTGGACATCCATTAGAGTCAACGACTTTGTATGGACCTTTGCACAATCAAATCGCTGTGAATGAATACAAAAATACAATTTCCGAAGCCGTTCAACAAGGAGGAATCATTGAATGTGGTGGAAAACAAATCGACAGAGAAGGATACTTTGTTGAACCAACAATTATCTCAAACTTACCACATGATGCTGAAGTCATTCAAAAAGGTAACCAACGCCGCATTAGGCTTCTGAAATTTATTTCATAATTTGTTTAATATTTCTCTTATTTTTCAATTAAAAAGAAACATTTGCACCAATCGTTTATGTGCTGAAGACCGAGAGTCTCGATCAAGCTATTGAATGGAATAATGAAGTCAATCAAGGCCTCTCATCTGCACTTTTCACAAAAAATATTTCATCCGTATTTCAAGTGAGTCAACAAGTCGTTTTTATTTCATAAAAAAATATGAACAGTTATAAATGGTTTTGGAATTTTATAGTGGATTGGACCAAATGGCTCCGATTGTGGTTTAGTAAATGTCAATACATCGCCATCGGGCGCAGAAATCGGCGGTGCATTTGGTGGGGAAAAACACACCGGTGGAGGTCGCGAGTCAGGGTCAGACTCATGGAAACAATACTGCAAACGATCAACTGTCACCTTGAACTACTCGTCGGAGCTTCCATTGGCACAAGGTATTGTCTTCGATTAAACAAACATTGTGATCTTTTTGAAAATTTTGTACGATTTTGAAAATATTTTTGAAATAAATGGAATAAACTAGAAATACTTATCAAAACTATTCGAATTTTCAAAAAATTGTGTTGATAGACCTGATTGATAAGAGGCTCGATAAGAAAGAGATGTATGTATGTTCCCTTGAAAGGGCTGTAAGTATCAATGGAATATGCTTATGAATAATTGAAGGGGGTTTATTGACAATTTAATTTAAGCTCATTTCAAATGAGCAAAAATTTGAAAGAAAAAACCAATTTTTCATTATATTTTATACTTTATTTAAATTGAGTTTGGAAATCTTATTGTTTATTCACAAAACAAAAAGAAAATATCAAGAATTTGAATCATTTATTCTATACAGTCTCCAAAATTAATAAATTATTCTAGAAGCAAAATCTTTTCTCAAAGAAATGCCTTTTCATTTGACATACTTATTCCAAGATGATCGTGAATTTGAGAAATTATAAACGAAATGAAGAGAAAAAAAGCTGTGTTTTTTGTGCATGCATTTTGTTTAATTATTGCTGTTGTTTTCAATTGTTTGTAATCTATATATATATTACATATAATTTGGAACCAACATTTTTTTATTAAAAGAGACAGAGGCATGGAAAATTTGAATTTATTGTTTTTTTACTGGGATCATTAAAAATGTCCATTGAGTACGTTTAAAAGATTGCTTAAAATTTGTGTGTCGTTGTTTAAAAATCGTTTCATATTTACTAAAAGTGATTTAATATTCCTCACAGGAATAAACGACATGGCGAGAAAAACATTCAAGAAGGAGGCTTGGATTGGAACTTGAAGAAGTAGTTTTGAATATTTTTTGTTGGAATTAAATTGTCAAATGACGAAATACTATTTATATGAAAAATATTGGAGTTTGATGAAAGGGCTTTGAGGTTTTGGATTGTTTCTTTACCGATGCATGGAATACTAAACGTTTTGGTATAGTAAGACCACCTATAGTATAAAATCAAATAAGAGAAAAAATGAATTTGTCATGACTAGTGAAAGGTTATAGTTGTAGAAATATCTTGTACGCAAGAAAAATTTCCATCTTAAAGCTATTATGTTCATATTTGCATGTACAGTTATATGTTACATAATGATTCGGTTTATATTTAATTTACAGTAGTTATCCTCATCGGAATAAGTTAAGGCCACATTTGAGTAAATACATTTCATTTGTTCGTTATTAGTTTGTTCATGATTAGTTAAATATACTTTTCTTTTTGTTCAGTAGTTTGGTGAATTACCATTCAATAGAGTCGTATTAAACAATTTTCAGACTTCACATGATCATCGATCCAACACAGTAACCACGATTCATTTCTTGTGGCACATAACTCATATGATCGATATGCCCAAGTTTTACGCAAACCACACATTGAAGTTGTAAAAGAATTTTACTGTATCAACTCCGAATGAAATCACGACCACTTTAAATGACTTCTCGGTCATTTCGTGTTAATTTTTGGTATTGGCCCTCAACGAGAAAGGTGCTCTTGCATATACTGATCTTAAATTGTAAATCGTAGATTTTTTTTGCAACTACAACATTTGGTCTTTTAATATGCTCTTTTATTATACATTTTAATCATTTCTCTATGTATCAAGAGCCTCTGATGTCTTGGAATAAAGTTGTTCTTTCTTTGTGCTGACATATATTTGTTTAAACATTGATTTTACTCCTAACTCTTTACTTTATAGACTAACAGTCTATATTTTATGTTCTTTCAATCTAAATAAAATGGTTTGTTCGATAAAAAGCGCATTATTCAATCATAAAATTAATTGGCAGACTAGTTTTTCAACCATCTCATCAATAGATATAGTTTGCACAAAGAAAAGCAATTGATAATAGCAAAAATGTCGCGTGGGATCAAAATATGTAGATGTCATTTGTTCAGTTTCTTAATCTATTTGTAGCTGTGATGATGACTTTCAATTTGTTTGAACTCATTAGATTTTGATATTCTTAAATAAACGATAAAGGTCAATCGTACCACAAACACTGTTGTTTTTGTTTCACAAAGTACATTAATTGATAACATTTTCGGCACGTTTTAATACCACATCGATAGCTGGCATTGTTTCCTGGCGGTGTATCAATTTTACCCTTACAGAATTTCAATGCGCAAGGATACCTGAAGTGAAAGGGAAAATAAATCAAAAAGGAAACGTTGTTATTTCATAGATATTCATCATCTACTTATCGACTTACCATGGGATCATGATCTCAAGCAAGCAATTGCATGGCGTCCATAGGCCAGACACATTATTACAAGAAGCTGTTTGCGTTGATGGAAATGGATAAATCGCCGATTCCAATCTCGATATTGATGAACCTATTCAGACAATTGGAAAGCCAAGAAGAATCATTTAAATCAAGTTCGTTGATTTACATCAAAGGTCGTAATGTTTTACAAAGCATATGTACCTGGTTTGGATGATAAAAATTTTATGTCATCATCACTGATGTATGTTGAATCTGCTGCTTCCGAACATAGTCCAGCAATGTGTTGACTGATTGGTGCTGCATGCGGTAAATTTATCCAAGCTGTCATCGTGAAATTTTCTCGGCCCCGATCCTCTTCTGGCTGTCGTATTGTACTGGGATTTTTCTAAAAAAAAATTATAAAATGGGACATCAGTTTGAATTCCATTCAAACAAATTTCGCAATCCAAAAATGTGTACACACCTGTCGGAGTTTAGATATCGCATCGGTTGAAATAAAATCACCTTTTGACAGTCTTGATACAAAACACATAACTTGATATTGACTTTGGCCCCGCTCCTCTTCACCGAGCACAAGCGCTTTCAAAACTTGAACTTCCTGTTGATTAGAAATATTTTGTGTTCATTATTATGCACTTCACGCTTTTAGCTGGTCAGATTAATGACACATCACTTGTTTAAGCGTTTTCATTAGTTTTTAAGTACTTACATTTCGAAAATCTATCAGTTGTGTTACTAGCGTGCCATCAGTGCGCTGGAACTCCAATATGATATAATCATCCAACAAGTTTGATGTTATTGTCTCCTGGATTACTTCTCCTCCCTGTTAATTTCACAAAAAAAATGGTGTTAGTGTTTTGTGAAACAAGAACAAGTTTGACAATTTCAGCCGATTTCTGGAAATTTGGTTCCTAAACAAAATACAATTTTGTTTTTTCTTTCTTTTTATATGGCTTTAAATTCGAAACTGCAAATACAATGTTTCACATTTTCTCTCACTAAAAATATCATAAGATGAAAATTGTTTCATGTGGGATGTAAAACAAGTCATTAATGCAAGGATCGTAATTGCTGTTGCATATTTTGTCATTAAAAACTTCATCCCATCCAACGAATTTAATGACTAGCAACAATTGGAATGGTTTCTCATTAAAATGAAAACAATCTATCTATTTTGTTAAAATATCGATTTAAGTTCGCTGCATAAGAACAAAATGAGAATTTTATTCGGTTTAATCGTATACACACCTGATTTTGAACATTTATCACTAGTTCAGAGTCTGTGAACAGTGTTTTTGTACACAATATAAATTGCAAAGTATAAACACTAAAGATGAATTTAATAATACACTTTTTTTTTTTTTTTTTTTCAGTTGTATTGGCTCATTCCGCATTGAAATTGTGACGAAATATTTGTTCAAATAATTCATCCATCGTGTGTTATTGAGCATTTAGAAAATTTTGCCATTATTTCGAATGCACCACCAGGCACTTCCGATAAACAAAACTGTTGAAGAACACCATTTATTTACTGCGATAAGAGAATACACCGAATTATTATTATAATTGATATAGCTTCAATGTAAATAAAACATAACACACTTTATTACTGTCTTTGAAATTAATACTTTAAAAATGACATTTCGATTCACCTTTCTGCAAAGTGATACAGATTTTTTTTTTTTTAATTTTTCATTTTGCACTTCCATTTACACAAATAGATGCACATGAACTGTCATTCGAAGAGCAATGTAAATCAAACAAAAGCGAAAATGTTCGTGTACTCACGTAGACAATCATATTCACACTGTCATACGTTGTATGTCACATATGGCCAAGAAGTAATGTAGGATATATTACAAAGTAATGGAAATGTGTTGCTATCTTCACGGCATACATCTATCCCAGGCAGCAACGATGAAATTATGTTACATCGTATTATGTCGTTAGAACTTTTGGCAATTGCGACACTTTCTATTTAAAAAAAAAAAACAACAGTTAATTTTGATTTTCGAACTAGATGTTACGGACTGAGTACATGAAATACGGATTGAGCGTCGCAAATTCCATAAATTTGTGGAAAATTTCCATATCCAGAATTTATTCAAAAAGTCAAGTGTTATCCAATACATAAGTATATAAAATTGCAAATATAATCGCGTGTATTTATTCGTCTGATTTCAAGGTGATTGCAATTTTAACCTGATTGCTGTTCTTTTCTTTAAAAACGTACAAAAACATGAAAAAAAACTGGATAAGTTTCTTAATATTTTCAAAATAACATAAAGTCATTTTGAGTTTGGAGTCGATTTTCAGAGTTTATTATCAATTTGTTTGTT